GGGTTAGGAGCACATACAGCTCTTTTGGGGGACCCAAGTTCAGTTCCCAGCACCCATGTCAGCCAACTCATGGCCTCCTGTAGCCCCAGTTCCATAGGAGTTAGTGCCCTCTTCTGGCCTCTGCAGGTATCTACACTCACCTGCACAGACACATATGCACAATTTTTAAAGAGAAAGTTCTATATGTCCTCTGTAAAAACCAACTGAGAAAAAGGGCCAGTTCAAAGCTACATATTATTTAGCATGTTGCTTATGTCATCTCCATAGCTTTTTAACTAATCTCAAAAAAAATACATAAAAAGTAAACATTTCCTTAAATTATTCCTTTCCTTTTCCTTCCTGTCAAAGTGTTTTAAAACAAGTCTTATGCTTTCAGCAGAGAAATAATCATCCTAAGAGACAAAAATACTCTTGACATTTTTACAGTAACAAGTTGTTAATATAACTAACTGTAGCTGAAAGCAAATAGACTAATACACTTATCATGCAGGCTGGATAAAGGTTATATGTGTTTTTTTGTTTTATTCTTAATCAAATGTTAAGTGTCCTGACAAACTTTCGACTAGACATAAGAACTCATGAGATCCATAATTCTCAGCAGAAGAGAAGCAATCGGCAAAGTCCTCTTCTCTGGATAAATCCCATATCAAGTAGACCGAGAAGTCAATAAGAAAAGAAGAAGAAAAAATATTATAATCTTTCTCTGGGGATAATGTCTGTGAAATGTCACCCTGGAAGCCCCAGAAACACAATTGTACCACAGCTGACTAGCATTGCAGAAGTGCTATTACCTCAGCTGCCTGAGAACGAACAATCAAGGAGATAGATGGCCTGCTTTCCACAAAGACATCATTTCTTTCTCTGTGCTGCTATACACAGAACATGAGGAAAGAAATGTGTGTGTGTGTGTGTGTGTGTGTGTGTGTGTGTGTTTACAATTACAGGCACCTGCCCCATTCATCTGAAGCCACTTCCTTAGAATTTTAAGTTGTGATCTCCAATTAAAATGAAACCAGGGACTGCTCACATTGAAGAATGTCATAAAATAAGATGAGTAAGATGGAGTTGGGGCTTTCCTACTAATATATTTACAGACTGAGGAATCTGAGGGAGGTGCTCTTGTTTCCAGAGGCCTTAGTTGGTAGTGATCAAGTCCAAAGACTTTGTAAGCAAATAAGTTTCTCAGCACAGCTGCACCCTGACTTCCTTCCATAGAGGAGAAGTTTGCCTAAAAAAACAAACAAACAAACAAACAAAGCTGTTCTTTATTAAAGGATATTCCATAGATTTCTTTTTAAAACCAGTCTCCCTGCTGGGTTTTGAATGGGTGAAGTTGTTGTTGCTACTGCTGCTGCTACTGCTGCTGCTGTTGTTTCCTATTTCTTTCAATTTTTATGATTTTTTTCTTTTATTTTTCTCTTATATATAACATCCCATCT